AAATATCGGGACCCCCACCCTGGTGTCTGTCCGGGGGGGGCGGGAATTTGGGATGGGGGAACCCCTTGACGTCACCCAAGAGGGCGTGGCCAGCATTTAAGAGGCGTGGCCAGGCACAGAATCTCCATATTTGGTTCGGTGGGCGTGGCCAAGACAAGGTCACCAGGGGGTGGGCGGGGCTCGCCCGCCGTGCGCGCGCCCTGCAGCCAATCAGGTCCCTCCGCTGCCTCACCGCCCCCCGGGCAGCCAATCAGCGCCCGCCCCGCGGCTCGGCCACGCCCCGCGGTGAAGATGGCGGCGCTGCGGGCGCTGCGGTGGCGGCGCCTCCCGGGGCTCGTCCCGAGGCGGCTCCGGAGCACGGCCGTGAGTGCGACACGGGGACAGCGCGGGGACAGCGGGGGGACAGCGCGGGGACAGCGCGGGGACAGCGAGGGACCCGTGTCCCCGCTCCCAGACCCCCGTGTCCTGTCCCGTGTCCTGTCCCGTGTCCTGTCCCGTGTCCCCTCCCGGTGTCCCCTGTCCCTCTGTCTCCTGTTCCGATGTCCCCTGTCCCGGTGTCCCCTGTCTCGGTGTCCCCTGTCTCGGTGTCCCGTGTCCCGCCGTTCCCGTGTCCCTCTGTTCCGTCTCGGTGTCCCCCCCAGTGTCCCCTGTCCCCCCGTCTCCATGTCCCCGTGTCCCCATCCCGGTGTCATCCCGGTGTCCCCGTGTCCCGGTCCCGGTGTCCCCATCCCGGTGTCCCTTTTCGGGGACCCCGGGTGCCACCGCCGTGTCCCCAAACCCCGCAGGAGTCCCCCGAGGAGCGGCCGCAGTTCCCGGGGGCCTCGGCCGAGTTCGCCGAGCGCCTCGAGTTCATCCAGCCCAACGTGCTGGCCGGGATCCCGGTGTACCGGGTGATGGACCGGCAGGGACAGGTGCTGCGCCCCTCCGAGGACCCCCAGGTGAGATGGGACAGGTGACACACCTGGGACAGGTGAGATGGGACAGGTGACACCTCGGAAAGGCGATGCCCTGCCACGGGACACCTCACACACACAAGATCCAGGCAGGTGACGCCCCAAAGAGGTGGCCCACAGGTGTCCCCAGGTGTCCCCAGGTCCCCCCAGGTGTCCCACCTGCCCAGGTGACCCCCAGGTGTGCTGTCCCCGCAGCTGCCCAAGGAGCAGGTGCTGAAGCTCTACAAGACGATGACGCTGCTCAACACCATGGACCGGATCCTGTACGAGTCCCAGCGCCAGGTACACCTGGGGGGGCTCACCTGGGGGGGGGCCTCACCTGGCGGCCGTGGGGCTCCAGGTGAGGCGCTCACCTGTGTCCCCAGGGCCGGATCTCGTTCTACATGACCAACTACGGCGAGGAGGGGACGCACGTGGGCAGCGCCGCCGCCCTCGACGCCTCCGACCTCGTCTTCGGGCAGTACCGGGAGGCAGGTGAGGCTCAGGTGGGCCAGCACACCTGGGGACAGGTGAGGCACGGGTGAGACAGCTGAGGTGCAAGAGAGGTGGATTTGGGGGGGAATCGATCTCAGGTTTGGGCTCCAGGTGAGGGCCAGGTGAGGCACACAGGTGACCCAGGTGACGCAGGTGACCCCAGATCCCCGTCCCCAGGTGTGCTGCTGTACCGGGGCTACCCCCTGGAGCTGTTCATGGCCCAGTGCTACGGCAACGCCAGCGACCCCGGCAAGGGCCGCCAGATGCCGGTGCACTACGGCTGCCGCGAGCGCCACTTTGTCACCATCTCGTCCCCGCTGGCCACGCAGATCCCGCAAGGTGACCCCGGCCCCGGCCCCACCTGCCTCTGCCGCCTGGCCCTGCCCCCCCTCGGTGTCCCCTCGCTGTCCCCTCTCCATCCCTCACCTCCCTCCCCCTCTCCCCATCATCCTCAATCTTCCCCCGAATTCT